TAAAATTAAAAAAAAAAAAAAAGTCTTAGGAAGGGGAACTTCAGAATAAAATACTTTACGGACTTTGACAACATGATCAGAATCTTGACAGACTCCTGAATATTTAATGATATGGCTGAAAAGACTATAAAATTCCTACGAACAACATAAAGATTTTCTTCATTCATTTCTAAAGGCAGGGGATTAGAGATGAATGCTTAATTAACCTTTTTTTTTTTTTTTTTTTTTTAGTCTGGGGATCCTATGTGAAGAAAGAAATACCCAGAGTTGATGGTGTTCTCTGTGCCCTAGCTGTGACATGTCACCACTCACTAAAAGTGCCTTGGTTTTTACCAGTAAGTCCTGGGTCTGGTTAACGTGGGTGACCAGTAATCCATTGTCTGGATTCTGGCTGGGTCCATTCATTTTCTTCTGGGTCAATTGCTTCCTTGGATCTCTATCAGTGTTTTTCTTCATGCTACAAAACATAAAGTGATTAGATCAATGTCCTGGACATCGACTCTACACAACCAGTGCCTCCCTCTTTTCTTTCCTCTAGTTTCAAAAGGATTCCAAGAACATTGCTATTTCTGTGCAGGAACTGAGAAGGTGCACCCTGTAGAGTCCTGATCAATTATGGACTTCAAGTTCGTGAGACATTACATCATACCATTTTGGTGGTTAGATAATGAAAGCCCCCAGGTAGATAGATGTAAAATGTTGCAATAACCATTATCTGGTCTCACTTCAAGGCAGACATTCCCCCTCTCGATTACCATGGAAAAAAAAACATTGTTGTTGCTGTTTTTATTTGCAAAACCAGAGAATCCTGCTTAGGAATGATTTTCCAGAAATCTATTATCTTGATCATGGAAGACATGACTAATTTGGGTCCCATTATAAAGATAACCTACTCTTATTTTCCTAAGGAGGAAAAGAACACAAGAGGATAAACACAGCATGTAGACAATATTTTTGCGGGGTTTGCTCAGCTCAGCTGTTCTTTCGTTACCAGTACACTAAATACATATTGAACATCTAGTAGGTTGAAGGCATTGTGCTTTGTGCTAAGGATTCAAAGGTGAACACGGTGGCAAGGGTATCTCCATTTTGGCCTTCTGATGTTTGGGGGTGGACCATTCTGTTGTGTGTGTACATTGCAGAATGTTTGGCAGTGTCCCCGGCTGCTCCCTGTTAGATGCCACCAGCACCTTCCTCCCCCTTGAGATAAAAGCATCTCTGGACATTGCCAAGTATCCCCCGATGATGGGGGGGAGAGGTGCAAAACTGACCCCCATTGAGAACCAGTGAGATAGGTATTGTCCTTGACCTTGTGGGGTTTATATTCTAAAATTGGCCTGAAAAATCAAAATGACACACCATGGCACGCACTGTGAAGGAACCAGACAGGAGGCTGTCATAGAGAGGCATCAGGAAAGGAGCTCTTCTGCAAGGTGAAGTGGTGGGGGCAGGTGTCTTTTGAGCTCAGATCTTTTTGAAGGGTGAAAAGGAGAGTCCACGGGAAGGACGGGAAGCAGAGTGAACAGCCGGTTTCCAAACCCTGAGGTGAGGAAGAGCTTGGCCAACCCAAGGAACTCACAGAAGGCCTGTTTGGCCAGATGGTAGGAATTTCAAGATGAGGAGAGCAGAACAGAAAGAATATTGAGCTGAGGTTGAGCTCTGAGTCACCCTTAAGTGAGATCCTTCTGCTTTGGAAGGCACCGCTTATTGGAGGTGTATATCCAGGATGGATCAATCGGATCCTCTCACTGGGAGTTTGTGATTAGGAGCAGGAAGAGGCTCTCCAGGGGAAGGTGGAGGGGATGGTCATTTCTGTGGGGCCCTGGTCTCTGGCTTCTTCCCTTCCTGCCTGCTCCTTCTCAGGCTCCTTCCCAGACTTCTCCTCTACCTGCTTTCCCGGAGACTAAGGAGGGTGCATGGCTCTCCTGTCTCCTCTTACCAGGCTTCCACTGCCACCTCTCCATGAACGACTGCCATTTGTACATCAAGAGCTCAGACGACCCTCCCTGACTCCAGAGCTGGGTATTCACTGACACCGGATATTTCCACTTGAAGCATTTCAAACCCAGTGTGTTCAAGACTGAACTCGTGATATTCCCTACGACACTCTCCTCTTTCTGTTGTTTTCTGCAGAAAAGAACCACCATCGACTTAGCATCTACTTACAGGAGTCAAAAATCTAGGAATTGTTCTCGACACCCACTCCTGATGCCATTCCATCATCTCCTCCTGTTAGTTTTAAGACTCTCTCAAACCTCACCATTTATCTGTCTCTATGGACATTTCTCCAGTCCAGGCCACTGTCACCTCTGTCATAGACACTGCAGTAGACCCTGGCTTGCCCTCTAGGTCCCCTCAGCCCTCCCATCCAATCTGTTCTCTTTATCAACTGGAGTATCTTTTAAAAACATGAATCCCGTGTGGTACTCTCATCTTCTCCCTGTTGCTCAAAACTCATCAAAGACTTCCCTTTTTTCCCTAGGAGGAAGACTAAGATCCTTGAAATGGAATTCGAGGCCCCACAGGGTTTGACGGCTGCTCATCAACCTCTCTAGACTTCCTACTTTCCCACGCACCCTCCCTTCTGTGTTCCACAAGGGCCCTGGAATGCTTCATAGTTCCTCTCACCCCAGGATCTTTGCATGTGCTTCTGTCTTTGTTCTGGAACATTCTCCTCCCCTCCCTGTACCCTCCTAATCTTTGATGTTTTAGCTCATATATGTTTCCTTTGGGAAAAGTCTCCAGCATTCCATTCAAGTTCAGGTTACTTTATTTTATATATTTTCCCAGGACTGTGTTCCTTTCTTTTAAGTAGCTTGTCTTAATTTGGAGTGATAAATACATTAGCATGATTTTTAAAGAAATGGCATGTCTCTCCCATGACACTATTGTTTATGTGAGAGCAGGGACTGGCAAACAATAAGTATTTTGAGGAAGTGAGGATAAAGGAAAGGAGGTTAAAAAACTGCCTCGACTCTTGAATTTCTTAACTATTTATCCCAGGCATTTGGTAAAAACAGACCCATTTTCTGCTCTTGGTCTCTGTGAACCTGTTTCTTTTAACTCTACTTTTTTGCTTAAGCTAGCTTATTTCAGTTTCTGTTACTTGCAACCAAACACATCCTGGCTATGCGCAACCTGTGAGAAACTATGAAGCTGCAGCTCGAACATTAGTATATTCTCTTAGGAAATTGCTCCATGAAAGAGCTTAGCAATGGTTCAGCAACTGGCTTTTCACTTCTTTTATTTGGAGGATGCTTTATTATCTGGGAAGCACCAGGGTCCTGTGGCAGTGTCTTAAATTAAAAACCCAAACTGGCTTGACTTCAGCGAGCTTTTCTGGAAACCCTATGGCAGGGACTGTTGAAACAGAAATGCTTGATGAACAAGGGCCCCTTCATAGGGTCTCAGTTCCTTAGTTGCGGGGTGGTGGTGGTGGTGATTAATGCTTTTAAAAATGCATTTGAGGCCTGTGAATGGTTCTGGGGCTCTTACATGGGCCAGTGGAGGAGACCAAGCAATGTGGGGCCTGGGAAGAGCTCTGGACCTTGGGTTTTCTCATCTGCAGAGTGGAAGAGGGATGAAGTAACCCAGGGCCTACTTCTAACTTCATTGTCAAGAGGATCGAATGAAATCAAGTTTGAGAAAGTGCTTTTCAAAATACAAAGTACTATAGAAACGCAGAATGCCACTAAATATCTGCCGCCTTGAAGCACTTCAGCATGAGACTCCTAAGCACTTATTCCTTTCATGAATATTTCAAGTGCCTTCGGGGACCCAGAGAGAGCTGGTACTGGGGAGGAGGATGAACTGTCACAGCCTTACCCTCAGGCCTCTGTTCAGAGTCAAACAGGACCCTCCACCCATTTTAGTGTTTTCCCCAGCAGACTTCACCATCTGACCTTCTGTATGCCAATGGTCTCCTCCTTCTGTCCCAACCTGGGCACACTAGACGTGAGCTCCCTGAGGGCAGTCACTTAGAAATGTCCACGGCTAGAATACTTTTACAGTGCCTAAAACATAGTAGCTTCTTAAAAAACAAAAAGGCACTTATTGAACAAATGCTTTAAGGGCAGGCCCAGAATTTGGGCAAAAGTGGGCCATATTGCCCAGGGAGAGTGGCTAGAAGAGAAGGGAAAGTACAGACTGGTCCATGGCCGTTGGCATTTTGGTCAAAGGGACGGAGGAAGTGCTGATTTGGGGATAAAAGAAAACCTTCAGCTAACTTTCTGAATTATTAACAGCTGATTCTCCTAAATATTCATCCAGGATAAAGCCATCCTCAGGGTTTGTCCTTTTAACTGCAGAATTGTCTCATGCCTTGTCCCCAGCCAATCATGATGCCAGAATGATTTTTTTTTCCTAATACGCAGAGTTCCTGCTGTCACTACCTGTTTACAACTCTGCCATGGCTCCTCAGTGCTCTAAGTCAAACAAGTCAGACCTTCTTCCCAAGAACCCCTATTTCCACATGTTACTATCTCATACCTACCTGTGCTCAAGTTGTTCTCAAAATGCCCCTTTCCCCTTTCATCTGGCAATAAACTCAGTAAGTTCCTTCTGATCCCTATTTGCTATCCCAAACTCCGGAGCAGAAACCCTGTGGAAGTCTTGTTTGCTATTCTATTTCATATCAAGTTGTCACGGTGTCTCCCCAACCAGCTTCTCTACTGCATTTCCTCGGCACCTAGAACCTGGCTTGGCAGGCAGGGAGCAGGGACTTAAGATCCCAGGCTCCCTAAAGCTTTCTTGCTTAGTCAAGGAGTTAGCATCTGGGTCTCTCCTGCCCCCTTTCTTCCAAACCCTGTCCACCCTTGGGACACTCACCTGCCTTTATTTGCATTTCCTTTTATTTCTCCATTTGTGGGAGAAGGGTCTCTGGCACTCCAGGGCTCTGCTTCTCCTGCTTCCGATTTCTAGTTGCTCCAAGCTCCTCTAAGCAACTCCATAGGGGAGCCTGCCCTGCAGGAAGTGTTAGCTGGTCTCCAAGGCAACCGACCAAGCCACTGCAGCTTGGGGCAGGGCAAGGGGAAAACTGGCCCCAGGGAAGGGTTATCACCTCTTTGTTGTTAAGAACCTCTCCCAGACAATCTACTCTCTTTCACCCTCACAAGATCCTGGAAGCAGGATTTGGATCTCTTTTCTATTTTTAGAACCTCTGGCTCAGCAGAGGACTATGGTTAAGACCTGCTGTTTTCTTGTGGTAGAAATGGAAGATACCAGAGAGCCTGTAATGAGCATGAAAATGGCGATCTTCTCCTTAGACTCCCTAGGTCTCCCTGGGAGAAGACTGACAGTCTCCACCCCCACCATACCCAGTCCTGCCCAAGCCTGGCTAATACGGCAGCATGCTCAGTGACCTCTTAGCATCACAAGACAGTTATCTTCTACAGTGGTTCCTAGACCTGGGTGCCCATCCGAATCACCTGGGCTGTTTACTAAGCAAGCATGTACATTCTCACGCCGGCGATTGATTAGAACTGTGGCCATTGTGGGAGCATGAACCTTTAACAATGGTCTCAAGTGATTATGATGTAACCAGGTCCTGGCCCATCACTGGGGGCCTCTCTAACCTCTTCTTTTCTAGAGTTCAAGAGAAATGAAGTGATGAATCCAATGTCAACCAGCTTGGAAGTGGCTAAGGTATTGTAAGGGTCCGGCGAAACGTCGGAGTAAGAGACCACAAGAGACTGTCTTATGCAAAAGCAGAAGGGTGGGTTTATTTGGAGACCAGCATGCTAGGGCTCTCTCTATAGCAAAGAGAGATAGAGCCCTGAGAACAGCTTGAGCAGAGTTTATATACTTTCCATGGAGAGGGCAGCGAGAGAAGTTACATTTTGTAGTTTGGCAGTTGGGGACAGCTCATTCTGGGAACAAGATTAGCAGACAGTCCACAGTTAGGGACAGCACATTTCTGAGAACAAGATTAGCAAACAGTTCTTAAGATTTCAACAGTGTTTTGTTAAGCATATAGAGAAACGGAGTGACAAGTACCTATTTTATTAACCTTTCAGTATCTGCACTTTGTTTTTCTTATCTAAGTAATTTCTCAAAATCACTCTTCAGTTTCTGAACCTTTAATAAGAAGTTAGAACATGTGCAGTCTGTGGTAGTTATCATGTTACAGATGTCCTTTAGCTGTTGAGCCCAGCAGCGTCTCCTATAGGCCAGGTCAGGAACAACCACACTCCTCAAAGTAGAAACTTGGGCAGTCATGGGCTGGGAGCACCATGTGTAAAGCCAGGGTATTTAGCATTTAGCAACACCACCAAGAGCGAGATCAGAAAGAAGGGACTCACAGGCCACAGTAACCCATGGTTACTCTGTGAATAGGAGGTGAGGATCTTGGTGCCCACCTTGATGGAAATCCTGGGTGGAAGAGGCGGGCTAATTTTGAGACACCACTTTGTGAGACATGGCAGGTCATCTAATACTCTCATTTCCCTGGGTCCCTGGATACATGGGTTTTTAATGTTTTACAAGCAGTAAAACTCAGTACTGAAAACTCTTGTTATTGCTTTCTTCTACTCGAGCTTACATGACACACATTCTGAATGTTCTCGTGCAAAAATGGATAAAGCAGGGTAAGATTTTCAGGTTGACCAGCCAAGAAGAAAGCTGTGTGTGGGTACCGTTTTTCTCAGCTCCCCTCAGAATGTAGACTGATTGGACCCATGTAAGGCATCAGAGCATAACAGGAATTTCTCCTATTTGAGGCTCTTGGGACCTGATCAGGGTCAACTCATATTCCATGTGAGAGCTGGTAACATTTCCCAGGCATATGGAGAGATCTTTGTGTGTGTGTGTGTGTGTGTGTGTGTGTGTGGTTACTAATTTGTGTTTTCTTTTATTTCAATCCTTCATTTCAAACTAGGGAGCAGGTGCTTTTTGTTGAGTGGAGAAGCAGCATGAAGTCAACAGCTCTGTCTTTTGTAAAAGCCTCAGCTCACTAAAAGATTCAAGGGACATGCTGAGGCAGGGAAGGTAAGTGATGTGTTAAATGTCAAGTGTATCCAGATCCTTTCAATTAAAAGACAGAAACCTGCGTCAAAGTGGCTTCAGGAAAAAAAAAAAAGAATTTATTTGTTTAAATAATAGAAAAGCCAGGGATAGTTCTGGATTCAAGCCTGACTTGACCCAAAGGCTAAAATAATGTTAACAGAACACCCATCTCCATTCCTCGGCTTCCTTTCTTCTGTGATGGCTTGATTCCAGGTAGGCTTTTCAGGTGTGGCTGGCAAACTTTGGTCCCAAGCAGTGCCAAGCTTCTCCCCAACTGAGCAACCCTAAAGAAAGAACATTTCTTTCCAGTTCCAGCGAGTTCCAGGCTTGGCTTCTTGGTTACATGCCATACTCATTCCTGAGGGAATCACTGTGCCCTGATTGCCCAGGCCAGCTTCTGTGTCCAGCTTTGGGGCCAGAAAGTGAAATCAGCCCACAAAGCCTCATAGCCTGAGGTAGGAAAGGAGCCGTTTTCCAAAAGAAAGAGGATGTGGGTACTAAGCTAACATGCCTCTGAAGGAAGCCAAGGGGAGGGAGATTCTCCTAGATGAACAGAGATCTGAAAATGAGAAGGAGTGGAGGCCTCTCAGTGCTGGGTAGCAAGGCCTTGGTGAGCCACAACCTAAGAGGACCCATGAGTACTCAGTGTGCTCAAAACCATAGGCACAGGAAGTCCCCAGCTCACCAGTGTATCATGCCCCAAGTATGGGACATCTGAGGCCTTGGTAGTAATGTGTGGACAAATGACTTGGGGGGTTAGGGTACCCTAATAAATTCCCTACCCAGAGCACAGAGGGGATCTATTGATTTTTAAGTGCTATGGAGGGGTGTGTGGAGTAGCCTGTCTGGGGAAATTTCCATGGGTGCTCAGATCCTAAAAGAGCTCTACAGAACCCAACAGATGACATCACTAGTTTTACCAGTGAAGTACATCGACACTATAAAATGCCATCGAACAATGATTGTAAAGAGAAAGCTTGACAATGAGATAGGAATGATGGAAGAGTAAATACAAACAAGTTGGTTTTTCCTACTTTTTTTTTCTTACAGCAAAGTAGATAAATTCCAAAGTTGTTTCTAAATAGGGACTACCTTTTATGGTTCTTTGCATCTCACATCCAGAAGCAGCAAGCCATAGATATAGCTGCTTGTGTTTGAGCCAAAGAATCATGCAACTGGGACAAGCTATTTTTATTTCCTTTAGACTAGACAAACTGGCCATGTGCGACAGCAGAAGGAGCCCTAGATCTGAAGTCAGGGAACCTAGGTTTGAAACTCAGATTGACCAATGACTAGTTAGTTACAGAACCTTGGGTAAGTAGTTCACCTTTTGATCCCTAGTTTTCTGGTCTATAAAATACCACCTCTGATGACACAGGAAGAGGATTAATTAAGATGACATGGAAGAGCACATGACACATGAATTTAATGTTCTTTCTCTAAACTTGCTGAATGCCACTATTACCTAACCACAGCACTTTTGAAAATATGAATTATCTTAATAGAGTGGTTGCTATGCTACAGTTCGTTATCAGGTTATTTTGATATTCGGGAAGTTTTTGTAATGTAAGACCTAAGATCACCAAAGCATTATTTATATTAACAAAAACCTGGAAACAACCTAAATTTATGTAAAATGGAATATAATGTAGACTGGGGAAGCAGTGGTAGATACATATATGATATTGCTTTTGTTAAACTGAAGGGAGAGTAAAGTATCTGTTTGAATGCTCAATAAACTAGTATTAATGGTTCTCTGGAGGTGGATTGTGGGTGTGGGTGTGGAAACTTTTAACTTCCTGTGCTCCTATTTTGGACTTTTTTGATTTGTTTTTAAAAGATTTTTTACAGATATATGTTGTAAAAAGAAAATCCTTTGTGCCAGTTTAGGGTCATGATCACTTCCTTCATAATAGCTCTTTGAGACAAGAAAAAATTGTCAATTACCCTAAAAGCAGAAATACAGTCACGTACTAGAACAGTGAGTATAGGGTAGGATTACAAACAATAAGTCCACTATGGGGCTGGGGATGTGGCTCAAGCCGTAGCGCGCTCGCCTGGCATGTGTGCGGCCCGGGTTCAATCCTTAGCACCACATACAAAGAAAGATGTTGTGTCCACCGAAAACTAAAAAAAATAAATATTAAAAATTCTCTCTCTCTCAAAAAAAAAGTCCACTATGCTCATTTAATTAGTAAACTATACAGAAGGTGGTCAAATCTTTTTTAGATGTGTAGATTCATTTTTTTTTACCCTAGAGCAATTATGGATAAGAAAAGATTTTTGTTGTTGTTGTTCTTCCAGTGCATTTGCATTGGCCACAGAAAACACAGCAACACAAAAGAAAAAGTTTTAATTTTTAAAGAACATATGTGAGTTGTCTTAGACAGTTTTAAATATTTAAACAACACAAGAAAGGGTGCCAGAGTCAGTACATGGCATTTATTTTACTGACTTGCCCTGACAGATAACAAATGGAGATTGATTTAATAGTGACCACATATCACTGGCAATATTTATTAAAATACCTTAAAATGGTCAATTGGAGAAAACCACATCTAAATGAAATCAAACTCTTGAATCTATTCCTTTTAGCAGAAATAATTAAGAACATCTTGGCAAGACCGAATCTTTGCAAAACATACCAAATGTAGGGCTTCGGGACAGCAGAGAACCCACAAGCTTGAAGAAGCCTCCAGAGAGTTCTCTCGGGATCAACAGGACACTTGCATCATCCTATTCCTGTTTGTATCAGCAGCAATGTGAGAGCTGAGTTCAGTAAGAATCTTGAGTCCATAAGAAAATCCGGAGATCAAAGAAACTGACATATTAAATGGGACATACCCACTGATAAAGTAACCACATTAGATCTAGACCAGCCTCTGCCTTCAGGAAGAATTTTACTGAAATAATTCTAGCAAATAGGTAACTATTTAAATTTCCAGGAAATATGGTTTCATAAATTTCCTTTATAATCTATCCCTGAATTTATATATATATATATATAGTTTTGCTTTAGTTATCAATGGAACTTTATTTTTATTTATTTGTATGAGGTGCTGAGAATCGAACATAGTGCCTAACACATGCTAGGCAAGCACTCTACTATTGTCCAACAACCTCAGCCCCTGAATTTAATCTTGATAATTCAATTCCATAGGTAAAGCATTGTGCCAGGTCTCTCAGGAACATGAGAAAACCATATTCCTTGCATTCTAGAGTTTATAATCTAGTTAAAAAAATGTTTTAATGATAATAGCAGCAACCAACATTTGAATGCTTACTCTATTCCTGGCACTTGGTCTCATTAAAACAAACAATAGCCCCATAAGTAGGTATGATTATTAGCCCCATTGTATAGATAAAAAAAAAAACAAGGCTCACAGACCTTGGTTAAATGATTTGCCTGAAGGTCACAAAACTAAAACTGTGGAACTGAGATTTGAATGCAGGGGTCTACTCCCCACCAGTACTGTTACAGAGGAATAAGCAAAAGGAAAACAAAGGATTAGGTATAGTTCAACACAAGCAGGATTAAAGAAAACCACCAGGAGTAGACAATGCAGACACAGCCACAACAGCAAACAGGTTGTAGTCAGAGAGTGGAGAGCAGGCTGGTTGTCAGAAAAAGTAAACAGTGGGGAGGTCGAGGAGGCCACACAAAGCCTAGTCATGAAGTTTTCTATGCCAGCTTACCGGAGTTGGGGCTTCCATCTGTGCAATGGGAATGACAAAAATGTGAATGAGGACGTAATACACTTCATTTAAAGAATATTTTGGCAGAATCCTCTTGGATTGCTAGGAATCAAACCCAAGGTCTCACGCATGTCAGGCAAGGGCTTCTACCACCGAGCCACACTCTGGGCCCAACAGAAATGACTTGGTGGATGAGCATCAGATGAAGATGAGCTGAAGACAGGTGGGTTCAGATGGCTGCAGAATGAGAATATTTGTCCTAGGATCAATGTGCATTTGTCAAAGACATTCTTTCCTATGTTGAGGGCTCTGCTGAGACCTAGTCAAGAGACTTTAGGAAAGTCAGAAAGCCTTTCTGAGGCCTCAATTTCTTCATCTGAAAATGGAAACCCTGGACATGCTCTTTGAGACTTCATCCAACTATGAAATTTTGAGTCTCATGAAAAATCTCTTCTTGAAACTCTTGAAAATTAATCTTAGGTGGTCTCTGTCTATAATTAGAACTGGGGTTGATAGGCACAAACCTTGATTGTGCTTGAAAATATCATCCCGTGGTATTTTCTTCTTCTGGGAAAAGAACCAAAACTCTAAAAAAATAATACATTATACTTTCTATCTTTAATACCACTTATAAATAACTGCCTTTACTTTGTTGCTGGGTAACTGTGACCCACAAGAGAAGCCACAGTCCTCTCATTTTGGAGTTTCCCCCATAATCCCATAGGGCAACTAGAATAGAGTTGATGGAAGACTTAGTCAAAAATAAGGTATTTTTTGAGCACATCTTATTGTTAAAACCATGCTGCTACCTTTTCCAAAGAAAAGGAAAAAAGTCTGGTATATGCCTACCATTATAGTTACCAATTGACCTATTCATTAGTGCTTATCAAAAAGAACCTTCTTGAGTACCTCTAATCAGTGTTATGTATCAGAATAAGATTTAGATAGTGTGAAGATTGAGTGACCTAATGACCACCCTAGTTTGCCTGGATTTTCCCCCAAAAAGTCCCACATTGTGGGAATCCCTAGGTCTCAGGCCACCTGGAATGGTTGGGCACCCTATGAAGATGCTTTCAAGTCCCAGAACTCAAAACCATCTTTTACTATGTCTTAACCCTTAACACCCCAGGAGGCTCTTGGAAAGGGCATATAAAGAAGAAACAGCAGTGAAGGTGAGATATTCACTAGTTGTTATTGTGCTGGGCTAATCTTGATACTTCCATAGAGGGCTCTAGTAAGGCTATAATGTGGGGTAAACGGACCAGTCTAAAGACCAAGGGCCTTTATCTTGTTCTTTCAACCCACATTTTAAGATCTTAGAAGCTAAGATCCTTTGGCGTGAAGTAGACACAGCAGAAGACTGAAGCCAAGATGGAGCTAAGTCTATATGCAAGAAAGAAAAGAAAGATGGCTGCTCTTCCGGGCTTTGGCTCAATTTTTTTCTCCTAGTTCATGGAAATTTGATGCAGAAGACAAATCCACGTGTATGTGGTGTTTTATTGCGGAATGGTTCTTCTTATTGCTAAACATGGCATAATCAGTGACCTGGAATATTAATGGCAGCTCTGACCTAGGAGTGAGCTAGGAGTGGAAGAAGAGAGGGAACCCTTCCACACCATGAGGCTAACAAGAGGCATGGAAGTGTCTATGTGTATATATGTGGAACCACTATAAGAAGTTAATTTTTTAAATCAAAGCTTATGCAAAGTAATAGAAGCCTTTTTAGTTTCTTTAGTAGACAATTTATTTTGATAAACTTGCTCAATAACAAAAATACAAGTGAAGAAAATTATGTTCATTTTATACAGTTGTATTAACAATTGTTTTGAAACTATTAATTGAAAAAATGTCAAAACCAATTAGAAAACAATTCTTAATAAAGTTTGGGATAATATACAGACCTTAATCACAAACTTTAAAATCTCTTGAGGTGATACAACTACAAGTCCTGTGTAGTGAATTCTACCTACACAGGCCACTTTTTTCCTTCATGTATTTTATCCTTCAAAATTTTTCTGAAAGACAGCTTACTGTTTTGAACTGTGAATGCATATTTAATTTTTAAAAGAAGATCAAAGTGGGTTGATAAAGCGGTTACTATAGTAAGAGTAATTTGTGTCTAGTAGTCTTATAATAAAGACAAATTAAATGCAACATGTTCTTCCCACGAAGCCCACGATGCAAAATAATAGCTAACAATATATCCAAAGTTACCTTTCAATACTTTTTTTCTGGGCCTTTCTCTAAATCAATAGATTGTTTGTCACCAGGACTATTAGTATTTCACTTAAGAGATTAAACAGTGACTTCATAGAACATCAAGTGGAGATATCAAAGCTTTAGGCAAAAGGGTAAAAACCAATAGTGTTTTGGTCATCTAGAACATTAAAACGAAAAAAAAAAGCCATCCTTCAAAAACAAAACAGAAAATAGGTTAAGAGGTGGACAAGTCAGAAAAATCACACTCACACGTTAACAACATAGAACATGGATTACCTTTGGAAAGAATCATACTGACATGTTTACTTTTAATGAACTTAATATTTTTATGTTTACAGGTGTCTAGGCATGTTCAATAGGAGCTTCCAAAAAATTTCAAACTAATTCAGTCTTGTGCAAATAAAACAAAAAGATAGTTTTCAGCATTTTACAGTGATATTCTTAGGTATGAGAAGAACGTACACTCTAAAAACAATGTAACAGACAAAAGTTGGACAAATGATTGCACCATAAAACCGTGTTTTATATACAGTTTACAAGATATGATATCCTGCTATAAATTAATACTGTACTATATAGTACTTATTATAGTGACCTTTTTAAAAGCAACTGCTGACAGTTGACTATCTTTTCACTTACAGGATTTATAGAAAGTTATATGAATGAGTCCATTTCAATGTTTGGTCTGGAAGAGTACAAAGACTTGACCTCACATACTACTCAATGAGATGGTCTTAATCCTGGGTTAGCATGCAGACTGGCTAGAGGAACTTTCCCCTCTATCAGTCCTTTATGCACTGGACCTCCAAGACAATGATGAAATCAAGGACAATTTAATGGTTTGGGTAATAGATACAAATAAAACCTTAAATTTTGTAATCTTATATGCAATACCACTGTAAGTGAAAGAAGTAAACAGTGGGGAAATTCTTAGCAGCTGAGAAACTTTCTCTCCCCATGCTCATGATCCAGTTAAAAATATTTTGAGAAACTATTTACAATAAAATCCATCTTTTGGAAGAGAAAATCTCTTGGTTATACCATAAATTAATTTGATCCATACTTTGCTAACACTATCTCAGTGGTATAATGGTGACAACCAAAGCTTTCCTTTAAAGTGTTCCCTTTGATTTGAGGACCTGTCAAATCACAATGGGAAATGCAATCCCAAATGTCCACATATGTCTGGTGGTACTCTTAGAATTGACTAGACATCACAATACGTGGGGAATGGTCTCCCTTGGGTTTTCCAAAGGTTTTTTTTTTTAACCTGGGGAAGGTAAAAAGGAAAAGTATGACATTCCCTCAGAACGCTCAAGGAACACACCCAGGGGTGGTCCAACACCCCAGCCCATTGTTGACTCAAGAGTGAGCTGAAAATGGGGGTTTTCATTCACAATGAAACACTGTAGAATTAACAGTAAGATATATGAATACCAAACAAGCCAGTGTGAAACACACTGAGCTCTTCCATTTCATACTCTGAATATCTGAGGAGGTAGCCCCGTCTCTGAAGGAATCATTCTGTAATTTATGAACTATCTTCTTAAGAAACAGTGCATTCATTCCTGCTGTGTGAAGCATGGGCTACATGAGACTGTCTCTATTATACTGACAGGGACATCTGGGTTGCCATTTCACTAAAAAGAGGAAAAACTTAGCTCCATTGCTGTGAAACACCCTCCTGTCCACCCTTCGAACAAGAGATTATCTATGGTGCTCACCAGGAAAAACAACTAAGCTTTGACACGAAGGCATGGAAATGTGGAGAAGAGAAATACTGTATTTTAAAACCATTTGTGAGTTCAAGCATTGGCTACAATGCTTTTTTAAGGAAAAAAACTTAAAGCTGTGGGTTTAGTACAGCCCTTTAAAATAAATGCAAAAAATGTTAGCTTTTAGTAAACAAAGGCATACAGCAAATAAAGAAAATATTGTATTGCTTGAGTTTTTGGTA